TCTCCTTCTATAGGCTTTTTATATGCATGCATGTTGATTACTTTTCGTGGATGAGATGTCATGTGTCATAAATACAGATGGCTTGTGAATACGTTTTCTTTTCCTACGAACTTTCAAAATTTTCTTTTTCCTTTTTTCAAAGAATACCTTTTTCTTTTGTCGGTTTAAAGTGCACATAGAGAGAGTATCAGCTAGCAAATTTTTCAAGAACAAGGAGAGAGCTTAACGGGCCCTCATAATTCAGGTAATCGATAATTCTAGATTAGAGAGGCAGCTCACATGTGTACCAAGGTGGTAGTCTTTGAGTGTCTTGGTAGTTAGGATCTGGAATATTTTAGTTCATGTGCTAAAGGTTTCTGCAATATTATAATTGAGCTGCATTATGATGTTATATTTATTGCCTGGATCCAGATCATTGTTATGCTGCATAAAAATTTGTTTTTATCTCTTCATGATGTGTTCACATGATGCATTTATGCTGAAACCAAGCAAAGTTATAATAATTTTGATTTGAGTCTTGATGTTGTAGGAATTTATAAAGTCTACTGTGATGTGGTGAAGTTTGGCTGAAAGATTAGTTATGCAACTCTTGGTTTTGGATAGTACTTAGAAAAACTTGCACTATTTCATTCTTGTTTGTTTGTTAATTTGCAATGCATCTTTCTGCCTCTTCATGTGTATGTACATACCGAAGACAGAATCAAACGACTATACTAAGAATTAGAATTACGTTAGATACAGTTCTTCACACACACACAAATGATTGTGAACCGTTACTATATTGTTGGACTCACGTACATCAACAATCTACGCGAGAGAGTGCCGCCGGTAATATTCCTCTGAGAATTATTAAGTGGTGCAATTAAATTGTGGTTGTGGTTGGGGAAATGCCAGTTGTGGCTGCTACAGGCGACCAAGTTGACTAGATCAAAGTTAGGTGGCTTGCCATTTCAGACCAACCCAAATTGTTATAGTCTCTTATTGTGTTGGTAATAGCGGCAACCACCATTGAGGCATTGACTACACTACTACATTTTCTTCTCTTTTTAAAAGTGTTATCATTTTCATTGTACTCGCGTGATGTTACATACCCCTTTGCTAGGGACAAGCAATGGTGCAAAGAGGACTTTAATTGCAGTCTGAACATATGGTTGTATTAATATTCAACATCTGCATACATAAATTTGCGGTCGAGCGGTCTATTCTGAGCCTATGATAGTAGGTGAAAAATATTTTATAATATCAGCATTTGATATCTCAATTATTAGCAATTCTTCCATACCACGGGTCTCTATATATAAACAACCTTCAACTCTCTTGACGGATCTCGTTAGGATATCATCGATTATTATAAGAGAAACGTTGTATATATATATATATATATTATTCATGTTATGTGCAAGATTTCTACTCAAAAATTTCATTTGCCTGGAACTGTTTGCTTGCCTCAAAAGGAGGCACATGAACACCTAGATCTGATTCATGTTGCTTGGATATCCACCAACGATTGGTGTCACAGAGATATTTTTTTTATTTTTTTTTACAGATAATGAAATTGTCATTAGGAACCAGTCATGGATTGCATGAACAGCTTCCATTTCATAAAATCTGGAGAAAGAAAGTTATACACATTAAAGGCGATATTTACTAGGTTGATGCATATATTAAACTCATGAAGGCAAGATTTACTAGGTTGATGCATAATAAATTACAGAAGAAATGTAAGCAGCAGGTTCGACTTCTGGATCCTGGTCTCTGTACTGGCTGGCCCTACCCTGCAATTCAGTTCTAGATAGAACGATCAAAAAGTTAAGAGCATAATTAGGTTTTGTAGGTCAGGGCTCTTGGTAGGGAAAAAAACTTACATGAAATAAGAATAACATTATTTTACTCTTCTCGGCCAAATTATTCTTATTGCGTTTCTCTCCTTGATAGGGGTACGGCATGTGTGGCTGAGGAGGCCTCTGGTGGTGATTGAAAAGTGATTGAAAATCTAGCCAAGTTACATGCACCACAAGTTACATGTCACATGCTTATATATCTAGCATAAAAATCAACTTATCCACCTACCTCTTTTTTGTCCTCTTAAGAGCAAACAAAATCCTAGACTAGAAGATAATAGCAATGTTGATCTGAGAAAAACATATCTCGTTATAGCTAGTTCAGGTTTGGTGTTTATAAATTATAATTGGATTGAATTACATAACTCGTTATACTTAAATATGATGAAATAATAGCCAATAATGTCTAACTCATTGAAAAAGAGCCTTAATTTACAGGCTAGTAATCTTAGGTTCGAAACTCCACGTCACCGGTGGGTGAGAAAAACGCTCTCCTCCTTTCTAACTTCGACACAGAAAAATATAATACAATTGAAGGATTTTCATTGTGCGGTAGAGAGATGACTAGATGGGTGGTAATGTGTTAACATTCTATCATTTTGTGAGAATGAGGAGAAATAAGTTTCCCGCACAACTAATCTATCTTCTACCTTCAATTTGGACAAAATTCGAAAGTTGGCCTTCATTTCCTCATTCAATACTTTAAATCTACTGAGTTATCCAATCTAATTTAATATTGGGCACCAAAAACGTGTCGTTAATGTATAATTCTGAAACACAAACGATGGCTGGAAAAGATGTATAATTTACATGGAATGGTGAGGCTATTGGAGGTAATAAAACAGAAAATAAATGGTGAGGTTGTATGCATGGTTGTTAAGAAGGGTACAATGGTGATATGCGACAGACAAACAACTAAACAACAACAACTGAGGAAGAAGACAAATGGGGTGATCACATGGCCTTGCCCTCTCAATGTCTGTATGACATTATATCTGGAATTGTCTTCAAGTTTCGACAAATGTATTAAACATAAACTAATGTGCAATTTGCTTAGTGCTTATCTATACAATAATTAAATTAGTGAGGCAACGTATGGGAGCTCGTCATCATATTATTCTACTGGGCATTTGCCCCTTTCTTAAAGTTTGGATTTATTAAGCGATTATCTTTGTATCCGAGGTCATGTGGTTCATTTCTCTTTTGTAATATTGCTTGTATCCGAAAAAGAATGTTGGAAACTCTATTCGTTCCAATTAGAAGTAATAATATCATATGCAATATGATTGTTTGTTATGCAATTTGTTTTATACTTAATCTTAAAATCTCCCGTAAAGAACTTGTAGTTTAAGCTGTTAAGAGTAGATATCATTTATTATTAAAAGGAAAAATAGGTAAAGAAAAGCTAATTGGTTGTTTTTTATACCACCGCTAGAAATATAAAGTTAATAGTTATTGCCTATAGTAGAGAACAAAAAAAATATCCCAATCAAGGAACATAGGACGTTGAAGGTGTTTGTCGTGCCCAATTTAGCTTCCGCAAACTTTGGTATCTTTCATAAACGATGCGTGGGTTTTTAATAAATATCTCTTATGAAAAATCTACACCCCAAATTTAATGATGCACAACATTTTCAATGTGGAAAGTGTTTTGTAGGAATTATTCTCATGCTATTTTTCCCCCTTTACAGATATACAAAGTTTTGTCAATGGGGTTATTGACTTTCAGACTAATGATTTCATAATTCCTATAACACCTTGGTAATGTATGTAAAAATTCTCCTCTCATTTATAGGTTAGACTACCATTTATATTCAAAAGAATACAAAGCTTTTGCTATGTATCATCATATCCATTTATAGGTCTTACATTTTATACAAACTAAAATTTAAAGGGGAATATAAAAATAGTGCTATCTTGAACCTTTTCGGTGGCTCAAGAGGCAGGAAAGTTAGTTCTATAAATAAATAAATCATCATAACTTTTTATTTTTCATCTCTTGTTTTGTTTTTAAAAGACAATGAAATTGCTAACGGAGTCTAGATCAGTAAAAAAGGATTTTAACTTGCAGATAAGAGATTTTAGGTTCGAATCCTTATGACATCTTAGTTGTATACGTGTGTATGAGAAAAACCCCTCTCCTGTAGTTTAGACTATTGCTTGTAATTAAAAAAAAACAGTGAAATTAATTATTAAACTCTCTCAAGATCCAATTGTGCTATTGCTAACAAAAAATATATCCAATTGTGCTAGAGTTCCAAACCTAAGGCAAATGTTTGCTGGACTCTAAATTATATAACTATATTGGGCTGATCAGTTATGGGTTGCTATAGTGTGAATAAGGGGATTGATTTGATTAGGCTGATGGAGCATACTTCACTGAACTCATGGATGGACTTCCAGCAATAGGACTAATTCCTTATTGAAAGAAATGAAAGGACCAAAACGAACCAAATCAGTCACTAAATGGATTATTTGTTTAGTTGAGTTATGCTACTAGTTTGAAGTCTAAGCCGAACCAATTTGAATCATGATAATTAACTGCTTAAGCTATAAGTTCCTTGCAGATTTTTGAGAAATAAACTGAATCAACCCGGACTCCACACAACCCTTGGGGGCATGTTTTTGGTTGAGATCCATGGCTTTGCAGCTTAGCATGATGGATTTGTCTCTACAAATGTGCTTGGGCTTGACCCAAAACTCGCATTAGCCCTGTGGGTTTAGGCTGAAAACCAAAAGCAATGGTTCTGAAAAACAAAAAGCAATGGTAAAAAAGACACTCAATTTTGACAAGACTAGCATTATAAATTTTCGAGGAACACGAGTGGTCGTGAGTGCGCATGGTTGTCAATCACAAATCCGAATTTTCGAGCCTTCGTTGTCACGAAAAGCACTTTCTTTGGGATTTTTAAAATTGAATTATCTCCGCAGTTTTCACCGGCCGTTTCACAGCAAGTCCATGTATTGGAAAGTTGCTTCTCAGTCAGACATTCAAACTCATAGACGTTGAGAAAAGAAAAAGCTATCATGATCACATAATATTATAATGCATATTGGCATATCAAAATCAATATAATAAATAATACAATAATAAAAAGTTCCCTTGTATTGTACTATATAACAATGTTTTCTACTCTTAATTTGGACGTTCCTCGATGATTTCATCTCTCCTCTGGAGACTGCAGCTATACAGAAACATAAGCAAAGGGAACCTCTTACTCTCAGCAGAGATTTCAATCTCTTGGTAGTAATTTTTTTAATACACTTTATTATTAATCTGCTTCTTAGTATCTAGATCTTGTTTCTTAATCAGTGAATTAGATTTTGTGACAGATTAATAATGTCAGGATTGGACCCTGATCCTGATCCTGATGCACCAACCAATGCAAGTCCAGGTGCGCCACCCTCGGCGCGGAGGCCTCGGGGTCGCCCTCCCGGCTCAAAGAACAAGCCCAAGCCACCACTCATAATCACTCAAGAGGCCCCAAATGGGCTCACGTCTCATGTTCTAGAAGTTTCTTCCGGTTCAGACATCGTTGATTCGTTGGTGACCTACGCCAGCCGACGCGGCCGAGGCGTTTGTGTGCTGAGTGGTAGTGGTGCGGTGACAAATGTCACCTTGCGCCAGCCAGCCACGACAGTATTATTATCACCGTCAGATAATGGTACTGTCGTGACATTACAGGGCCGGTTTGAGATTCTTTCTATAACCGGCACGTGCCTGCCTCCACCAGCCCCACCTGGAGCCGGTGGCCTGTCAATATATCTGACAGGCGGCCAAGGACAGGTTGCTGGAGGGATTGTTTTGGGGCCTTTGAGGGCTTCAGGCCCTGTGGTGTTGATGGTTGTTTCATTTGCTCATGCAGTGTATGATAGGTTGCCGCTGGAGGAAGAGGAGGAGAAAGAGCCTTCAGCGCCGCGAGTACAGGCGGCAGCAGCGGCTTCACAGTCTTCGGGAGTGACAGGTGGCGGCGGCAGTGGCGGTGATAGTTATAATTTGGGTGTGACCAGTATTAGCATGGGGAGTAGTGGTTTTCCTGGTGATGTATATGGGTGGAGTAGTGGGAGTAGTCTGCCCAAGTAAGTAGGTATGTTTTGTTGAACGTGATGAATGAGAAGAAGACCAACAACCCTGGAACTTGTGCTTAAAAGAACCAGGTTCACATTGTATAAATTCATCTCCTGGCATTGTTTTTCCTAATTTTATGATATTTTGCTTCTTCTTCTTCTTCTTTATGGTGCATACTTCAAGTCAATTAGTTCTTTTATCTCCTTGGCATAACAAGAGTAATATATTTTGAACCACCATCTTGGGTACTAATTTCGAAAAGCTAGGAACAACCTTCGTCTTGTAATTCATATATATATTTTTTTAAATGAAAAAAAATTGGGGGGAGATTGACTATTCCCACCACCAGCACCAGGGCAGATTCAAGACCTCGAGCTAGAAGGAGTGTTGTAATTCTTCTTTAATTAAGAAAAAACTTTCTATACATAGCAAAGTATAAAAAGCAAATATTTTCACTTCTATAATATTATTATCCCACCAAAAAGGAAAAGAAAAACGTGCTTGTGAAGAGAAGAAAATGTTTAGTTTTCAAACGCCTCTCTGCTGCTTCCTCTGCCTCCCTCCACGAACACACTCCTCAAAACTCGTTACGCGCCACTCTAAAAACAGGCATATCAGCAAAGACTCGGTCCCTTTCTCTCTAAACCATTTATTCCTCCTACGTTGGTGGAAAACAAAGACCCCTTTGTCATGAACATTTTCATCACTCCAATAATGTCTCCTCCCATTTTCCCCATTGTCTAAAATCCATGGAACAAAATGTCACATTGGTATTTTTCTAGGAAGCCGATTTGTTCTGCTACATTACATACAATGTTGATCAATACGTATACTTCATTGAAATCGTAAACAGATCGAAGAATTCAGAAAGAAAAACGAAAGATTGGTGTTTGAGAAATTTATATATTGCAACTAAGGTAGCTAGACAATGGCAACATCCCTGAACAGAGAGCCATCCAAGAAGGCGATACGCAGCCCTGGGGGCTCTACTAGCTCTCAAGGCAAGGCTAATTCCAGTGGCCAAACTGTTAAGTTTGCGAGAAGAACTTCGAGTGGACGGTATGTGAGTCTGTCCAGAGAAGACCTTGACATGTCAGGGGAATTATCAGGGGACTATATGAACTACACAGTTCATATTCCTCCTACCCCTGACAATCAGCCCATGGACACCTCCGTGGCGGTCAAGGCTGAGGAGCAATACGTCTCCAACTCTTTATTCACCGGGGGATTCAACAGCGTCACGCGTGCTCATCTCATGGATAAGGTGATCGATTCGGAGGTGACTCATCCTCAGATGGCTGGAGCCAAAGGCTCTGCATGCATGATGCCTGCTTGTGATGGTAAGGTGATGAAGGATGAGAGAGGAGTTGATATAACCCCTTGTGAATGCAGGTATGAACATACTATTTTCGATTAATTATTTGCTCGATTAGCATCTCAATTTCACATTGGTAATACCCTGGGAAGATCTTGAGTACTCAATTAAAGCCTAAAAATTCGTATTCGCATTTAGTAATTTGAACAAGTCTTAAACTTCTATCTGTTTTTGTTTTTCAAAATGTGTTGTGTAGGTTCAAAATCTGTAGAGATTGCTATCTGGACGCCCAGAAGGAAACTGGAAATTGTCCAGGTTGCAAGGAGCAATACAGAGTAGGGGAAGAATATGATGATTCACAGGATTATAACTCTGGAACCCTGCAATTGCCTGGCCCAGATGGAAAAAGGGATAACATGTCTGTGATGAAGAGGAACCAAACTGGAGAGTTTGATCACAATAGGTGGTTGTTTGAGACCAAGGGAACCTATGGTGTTGGCAATGCTTTTTATCCCCCAGACGACTATGGTGATGGCGGTGGTGATGGCTTCCACGGAGGCCCACTGGAGTCGGATGACAAGCCTTGGAAGCCCCTCAGTCGGAAACTGCCAATCCCAGCAGCCATTATCAGCCCTTACAGGTTAATTATGAATCTCTCTCTCTCTCTCTCTCTCTCAGTACTTTTACAGGTTTACTTAGACATGTTCAACTTAATTTAAACGTGTTCAAAATTAGACATGTTGCATTTGTCCCTGCACACCAAAAGTGTTATGAATTCGTCAAAATTCATCAGACTTTTGCACTACAACAACCTTGACAAATAGTAGTAAAACATAATAAACATGGTAAGATGAACTGATTATGTGTTCATATATTGTGTCATTATGCAATATAATTAGAGATGACACGAATAAAGTATAATATGATCCATATGTTGCAGGTTGCTGATCTTTGTTCGGTTTATCGTGCTATGTTTCTTCTTGCATTGGAGAGTAGTACATCCAAATAATGATGCAAGATGGTTGTGGCTCATGTCTGTGATCTGTGAGATATGGTTTGCCTTCTCTTGGATTCTGGATCAGACTCCCAAGTTCTTCCCCATCAATCGGTCGACCGATCTTCAAGTCCTCCATGACAAGTTTGATATGCCGTCCCCTTCCAATCCCACTGGCCGTTCTGACCTCCCTGGTATTGACCTCTTTGTGTCCACTGCTGACCCTGAAAAAGAGCCACCTCTTACCACTGCAAACACCATCCTTTCAATCTTATCCGTTGATTATCCGGTCGAAAAGGTGGCTTGCTACATCTCTGATGATGGAGGTGCCCTCCTCACCTTTGAGGCAATGGCAGAGGCTGCAAGTTTTGCCGATTTGTGGGTCCCGTTCTGTCGGAAACACAACATTGAACCAAGGAACCCTGAGAGCTACTTCAGCTTGAAAATTGACCCAACAAAGAACAAGAGCAGGCCAGACTTTGTGAAGGACAGGAGGAAGATCAAGAGGGAGTATGATGAGTTCAAGGTGAGGATCAATGGGCTTCCTGACTCAATCAGGAGGAGGTCTGATGCTTTCCATGCCAGAGAGGAAATGAAGCAGCTGAAGAATATGAGGGAGAGTGGAAGTGACCCTTTGGAGCAAGTCAAAGTCCCCAAGGCCACATGGATGGCTGATGGCACACATTGGCCTGGTTCTTGGGCTGTCCCTTCCCATGACCATGCCAAAGGTGACCATTCTGGAATTCTTCAGGTATATTTGCGTTTGTTTTAAGGCTTTATCATTAATTCATCTTGAATTTGAATAAAGCTATTTGGACCATGTTTACTGATCACCTCTCGAATTCTTTGTTAGAGATACAACAAGCAATACGGTCATTAAATATGGTCGAAACTATATTGTCTGCAATAACCAAGCAATATTCAACAACTGATGCTGCAAAATGCACAGGTGATGCTGAAGCCTCCTAGCCCTGATTCCCTTTTGGGAGGGGCAGATGACAAGCTCGTAGATTTCACAGATGTCGATATACGCCTCCCTATGTTTGTCTACATGTCAAGAGAAAAGCGGCCAGGCTACGATCATAACAAGAAAGCTGGTGCCATGAATGCGCTGGTGCGAGCATCAGCCATCTTGTCCAACGGCCCTTTCATTCTCAACCTTGACTGCGACCACTACATCTACAACTGCAAAGCTGTCCGTGAAGGAATGTGCTTCATGATGGACCGTGGTGGCGAAAACATCTGCTACATTCAGTTCCCACAGAGATTCGAAGGCATTGATCCCTCTGATCGCTATGCCAATCACAACACTGTGTTTTTTGATGGCAACATGCGTGCTCTTGATGGTTTACAGGTACCTTGAAAAATTCTATGCTACAAACTCGTATGGCATACTTATGAACCGCTATAGGATATGTAGATTTGTGGACTGTTAGATTTGTTCGTGTGTCATACAAGATTGTTACTTGGAATGCACAAAATCAATATGCATGAATCATGGATTTGCAGGGTCCAGTGTATGTGGGAACGGGGACCATGTTCAGGCGGTTTGCCCTGTACGGTTTTGACCCTCCGAATCCTGACAAGTTGCTGGTGAAGACTGACACTGAGACGCAGGGAGGAGAGCCTTTGACACAGTCGAACACACAACCTTTGACAGCCAGCGACTTCGACCCTGATCTTGACACCAATTTACTTCCCAAGCGTTTTGGAAATTCCACAATGCTGGCAGATTCTATACCCATTGCTGAGTACTACGGCCGCCCCCTAGCTGATCATCCTGCTGTGAAATTTGGACGGCCTCCTGGTATTCTCAGGGCTCCTCGTGATCCGCTTGATGCCACTACTGTTGCTGAAGCTGTCTCTGCCATTTCTTGCTGGTAAGTATGTGGGCACGTACACCCACACTTATTTGATCTGAGTTGAGTGAATTCGTAAATTTAACTGACCACATGATATGACAGTTGATTAACGAACGAGATGATAATCGATCATGTAAACTAAGTAGTAGCTAGCTAGGTACCTATGCATCAAATTAACATTGGTTGACAGGTACGAGGACAAGACTGAATGGGGAGACCGTGTGGGTTGGATTTATGGGTCAGTCACAGAAGATGTGGTGACGGGGTACAGGATGCACAACCGTGGATGGCACTCAGTCTACTGCATTACCAAGCGTGACGCATTTCGGGGTTCAGCTCCGATTAATCTCACAGATCGACTCCATCAAGTGCTCCGTTGGGCTACAGGCTCTGTCGAGATTTTCTTCTCCAGGAACAATGCCTTCCTTGCCTCAATGCGCCTCAAGTTACTGCAGCGCCTTGCCTACATCAACGTCGGTGTCTACCCTTTTACCTCAATATTTCTCATTGTCTACTGCTTCCTCCCTGCACTCTCTCTCTTCACTGGACAGTTCATAGTGGCAAATCTCAACATCACATTTCTAGTCTACTTGCTAACCATTACCATATGCCTTATATCTCTGGCCCTCCTGGAGGTAAAGTGGTCTGGGATCGGTTTGGAAGAGTGGTGGAGAAACGAACAGTTTTGGCTCATTTCTGGAACCAGTGCTCACTTGGCTGCTGTGGTGCAAGGGCTTCTCAAAGTCATTGCAGGAATTGAAATCTCTTTCACATTGACTTCCAAGTCTGCAGGAGATGACGAAAATGATGCCTTTGCAGATTTGTACCTTGTCAAGTGGACTTCCCTCATGATCCCTCCCATTGTTATTGCAATGGTCAACATCATTGCCATTGCTGTTGCATTTTCCAGAGAGGTTTATGCATTAAATCCTCAGTGGGCT